GAAGCTTCGTTTCGTGAATTGTCTGAAGCACAGGGCTCGAACGAATTATGAGGCCGCCCCGACTGCGGCGCAATGGTGGCCATTGATATGGACGCCGGATGTACATCAATCTGATTGCCCGTTTCGATGCCCTGCTCTTGCCGTTTTTGATCGGGGCCGCGCTGGCGCAACCCAGCTGAGCCCAGCAGAAGGTTGGGGCCAGTGGGAAGCAAACCAGGCATCAATGAGGTTTGGTTGTCCCTTCGATCGACGCGCTAACGGGTGGATTGAGGCGCGCTAGTGCGCCTGGTACGAGTGTAGTAGGGGGCGTCGATTTCCAGGTGATTGCTCGACTTCCTCACCGGCCCAGCCGCTCTGACGAAGCTATAGCGACCCGCGAAGAACGCGCGGGAACGTCGTCGAGGGGCGTCCAGGACGGCAATATGATGCAGCGTCACAGGATGGAAATTCCAGGTAAAGCATTGCCTTTCTGGCTTAACTTAGTCTCCATCTCGGGGTGCATGTCCCCTGCTTGGCTGAATGTAACTGCGTATGATCGGATGGAACTAATCAAATTTGCGGTGCAGTTTATTCTTGTACTGGGCCCCATCGGCATATGTGCCGCCGCTAGAGACGGATGCAATTCATGAAGTGCCGCCTGGATTGTCGGAACTCGTGGGCGCAATATGGGATGGGCTCGTTAACGGAACCCCCACTCGTGGGCGATGGGGGCGAATGCTGTTGGCTGTCCGCGAGGTTATATTTATATTCGTGGCAGAGGGACTGCATGTTGTATTTCCTAGATATGAAGTACAAAGGACCTCGACCGATGCGGGCATGACCCGCGATGATAAATTGAGCGATGCATATGCTTTGGGCTGCCAGATCATATTTGCGATCGAAACGTTCGATCTGATTCGTGCGTGGACCGACGGCTTAGGGCACGAAGGTGTGGGCGCTGTCAGACGATGCTATGCAAAAATACAGCTCGCTACCAGTTTCATGCAAACGTCTCATCAGATTTTACCCAATGCCAGACCTCGTTTGACCATCGGCCGTTATGGGTCCATTGTTGCTGACAGTGCCATTGGTCTTATCAAGTGTGTAACGAACCCGATGGAGGATTTCAGATCCTCTTCCGGAGGCCCCGCAGCCCTCTACAGACTTTTTGGCGCCCCCAGGTGAAGCCGAAGCCCCGCGCGGCTCTGCCGTTTCGGGGTGGAGAGGCCAGCGGGATGAATGCTCGAGCACCATCGAGTCCGAGGGCTGGTTGGGCCGAGAGGCAAGCCTCTAGACTCTAGGCCTGCCCCTTGCAATCCCGCGCCCACTGGCTCAACCGCGTCGGGCAGCAACCCCGAACGTGATCGGGGGTCGCCGACGGCTGACGCCAGGTGGGGTGGTCGAGATCGGTCCCGAGCGTGGGCCGATGAACCCGTCGTCGAAGTGGGGGGCCGCGCGAGCGATGGCGGCTGGGGCCCGCAGCAGGACTACCTCGACGTGGGCGCCAGCGGAGACATCCATGGATATTTTGTTCGCGTTGAGACTTGGCATTGGTTCAGCGTGAACGAGTGCAACAATGTACTTAGCAGTGGCCGCGCCTTGCCGGAGCCACCGCCGCCGCCTGCGCCGAAGGCGAGGCCGGCTGACATGGGCGAGGGCAAGGACAAGTCGGACAGTTGGAGTGCCAGCAGAGGAAGAGAGAGAGATACGATAGTCGCCAACGAGACCAGCATCGATGGAACTGGCGCACCGGTGAAGATTGGAAGGGTTCTCGAAGCTGGGGCGAAAATTGGCGCAGGTGAGCGTGTGCCAGAAGGACCAGTGCGACTTCGTCGATATTGGTCTTACGTCCAACGAGATGTGGGTACGCCAGGTGTGCAATAACTTTGTGGTCTGAAGTGACATTAGATATTTGCTCTGGCGGGGTTCGTCGGGTTGTTTTGGTTTCTGCCCCCTGGCAACCGCAGTCGAGCGGTAAACTGTTTTTGCGGTTCGCTCTTGTGGCTGTACATATGTGCAGGCCAGGTGGGTTTGGGGTCGGAGCGACGCTCTGCGCCCCGCCGCGGGGGGAGTCAATGCACTCTTTCCGCGTCACCATCCCGCTGCCCTTCTTGCTTTCTTCCTTTTTGCACTACTTGACTGATCTGTTACTTTACAGCTGTTTGGATTTTCAGGGGAACAGAAAAGGAGCGAGCCTGCGGCCCCGCGCGCGCGTCGCCCGGCGGGCTGGCCTCCTTCCTTCAGGGTTTCCTCATTGCTAGCTTAACGGTGCACTCCTTCCTCCCCATGACATCGGCGGAGCCCACTAAGCATGGGACATCATTGGAACACATTGCAGGGATTATGAATATTCAGGCAAAAGACTCGTTCCCGTCCCAGGCTGATTACTGACGTGCCTCAGTCGTCGTCGGCGGACGGTCGGTCGGTCGGTCGGCCGGTCCGTTGTCGTCGTCGTCTTCGTCGTCTTCGTCGTCGTCGCCGTCGTCAATGACAACGACAGCGGGCCTACGAAGCTTCCCCCATGGGGCATCCGCGGTGCGTCGTCGGTGTCGTCGTCGTCGTCGTCGTCGTCGTCGTCGTCGTCGTCGTCGTCGTCGTCGTCGTCGTCGTCGTCGTCGACAACGACATCGGACCTACGCAGCCCCCCCCTCCCATGGGGCATCCGCAGCGCGTCGTCGTCGTCGTCGTCGACGTCGTCGTCGTTGTTGTCGTCGTCGTCGTCGTCGTCGTCGTAGGACATATTGTAGTGGAGGGGGTGGGGGAGGCGTGGAAAAAAGGAAAAGGAAGAGCCCTTTTCGTTTGCCTCTCTCGCTCATCCCCCCTCTGTCGGTTGTTGTTTGCAGCCATGTCGGCACAGCCCGCCAGCTGAATCGCCTCTTCCCCCAGCCTCTTTCTTCTCTGCTGTTTGTAGCCGTGTTGGCCCAAACGCACCGCTCGCTGTGGCGAAAGCGCTGCTGTCCCCCTTCCGCTGAAGCGGCGCCGCTTGCGTCGCGCCTGTCGCCCTCTCGCTGGCGGCTGGGCGTAGGCGTTAGTCACCGGCGCCGCCGCCGTGCGTTTCCATTTGGCGGGCGCCCCCTCGCGATTCGCCCGAGCAGGAAAACCGTTTTTGTGACCGCGCGCCCTTCGTGTTGTCGGTAATCAGAATTTGATATCACCTTTGCGTCTTGACGACCCTGAGTCGTGCCACGACACCAATCCTGGGACTTACGCGCTGCGAGTCAGCATGACTGTTGCGCCCTGACGTTCCGACGTCGTGCCGAAACACCAACTCCGGAACGTTGACCATGTTTTTTTTTGAGTTTGTTGCAAACGCTTTCGACGAATGTGCGCGGCGCCATGGCGACAACCACATTTGAAAACGATTCGTGGGACTCCTGCACATTTATAACACGAATGTGCGCGTTGCTTTGGCGAGAACCACGTTTCGAAAACGACCCAGCTTCAATCCGTGAAAATCTTTCTAGTTTAAATCGATTGCGCGCGGTTTTAAGGCGATGGCCACATTTTGAAAACGACGCGCCTTGCATCCGTCACACTCTGGCAAACATCTGAGACGAATATGTGCGGCGCTAAAGCAAGAACCACACGTTGAAAGCGAGGAGCTGTGTTCCATCCGAGAAAATGCTGGAAATTTTAAGGTTCAGGATTATGGACGGCGAAACGCCCAGCCCGCCCTTTCGGCCAGCTTCGGGGTGCGACAAGGACGAGCCGTTTAGAGGGAAGAGGGAAGTAGGAGGAGGCGGGGGAGGACGAGGAGGAACAGGAGGTTGAGGAGGAGGGGGAGGAGGAGGAGGAGGAGGAGGAGGAGGAGGAGGAGGAGGACGAGGAGGAGGAGGAGGAGGAGGAGGAAGAGGAGAGTGATGAGGAGGAGGAAGAAGAGGAGGAGGAGGAAAAAGAGGAAAAGGATGAGTAATAGTCACAATAGCAGAACAACTATATTAACACGAAGGGTAATCGTAAGAATGCGGAAAGTACGACGGATAATATTTTGTAATAGTAGTTCGAGTGCTATCCATACTACGATTCGTAATTTCTCAAGCGAAACCGAACACGAAGAAAATTGAACAACATACTATAATATTCCGAATATCAAGAAAACGAAGAAGCAATGAATAATACCAATAGACAAGTTAGAGGTAAACTATAAGTAGTAATCAAAGGACTGAAGCTAACATCAAGACTGGTCATATTAGTACTACGACGAACTATACTAAGAGGGAACGTACTAATAACACCGCGAGTAAGAATAACACAAAGAAGCGTCATAACAGTAATCGCAACGATACTACGAGGAAGAAGAAGAGGGGGAGGAGGAGGAAAAGGAGGAGGGACAGTTTGAGGAGGAGGGAATGGAGGATACAGAGGAGGAAACGGAGGAGGAAGAGCAACAGGACAAATAATAGTGATATTCATAATGCTACTACGAGTGCTAGTAACCATACTAATCATAGTAATACGAACAATAATTTCCTACTAAGAACAATCTTACTACGAATCATAATCATACTGATATATCATAACACTTATACTGATCATAATGTGATGAAAGCGAATCGTAATGCAAAGAAACCTTAGTAGTAGTACGAATAACAATAACGACACTAATGCTCATATGAATACTACGCGCGAGTAGTAATGGTAATACTAACAAGAAACAGCCCTGTTCATATTAATCTAACAGAATACTATCAACAACAATAGTACCAATCATACTACGACTAAGAATAAGAGGGTTATGATGATGAGGAGGAGGAAGAGGAGGAGGACGAGGACGATGAGGTGGAGGTGGAGGTGGTAGAGGAGGAGGACGAGAAGGAGGGAAAGGAGGAGGACGAGGAGGAGGAGGATGAGGACGAGCAAAAACAGGAGGAGGCGGCGGAGGAGGAGGATGAATGATAATAAGAAACATAAGCATCATCAGAAACAAGAATAAGAAAAGGAGGAGGAGGCGGAGGACGCGGAGGAGGAGTGCATGCCTGTGCGTTTTTGGTTCGCTGCCCAGTTCCGCGGTCTGGCGGCAGGACCACCCAGAGTTGGTCCAGAAGTTCGAAACTCTTCTGGAAACCTGGTGCCGGCAGATCGAGCACTACCTGGAGGAGCGTAGCAGTCGTTTTGGGCCAAGAGTCGGGAAATTAGCAATGACATAAAACAAGAAAGGCGGAGGTTCACGCAGATTCTGGTCTGCGCTGGAGCCCTCCCGGGTGGCGTTTCTGGCGCCGCTCCTGGCGCGCTCCGCGCGCCAGGGAGGGGGCTTCAACTTCGATCCGAGAAATCTGCGCGGACCTCCGTTTTCATGTCTATGTCGCTGCTTGTCTCCTTATACGAGGTATCCCTGGGGAAGTTTCTGCATTGTTTAGCCGCCCAACCTTCCGTGGCCCTTCTGGGCACTGAAACCGTCAATCGACAATTGTGACTGAATTTTCAAGGGAGGACAAACCACCCGGGCCCGACAATTGGCGTTTACTAAACGGCCCCGGGCGTTTACTAAACAGCCTTGCCCTGTTCGTTTTCTCCTGTGGGTGCGTTTGCTAAACGGCTTCGCGTGTCGGGGTGATCATTATAAGGGTGAGCTCTCTGCCCTCGTATGAATGAGCCCACCAGGTGTCGAGGACCCTCTATTCCCACGGGACCCTTGTGGTTCCCAGGGCGCACGCGCGCAGCACGGCACACGCTCCCGAGGGCCACTCCGCGTGCACGGGGCCCACGAGCCACTGGCCGCCGACGGGGGTGCCGCTCCGCACACCTCGCCGAGGGATGCCACGGGCCGCGGGCCCACTCCGCAGGCGCACGGGCCAGTGGCCACGAGGGCACTGGGCGCCGAGGGGGCGGCCGCGAGCCGCGGGGCGCGGCGCCGCCGGGCACCAAGGAGTCCAGGGGCGGCCACGGGCCGCGGCACGGGGCCAGGGGCCGCGGGCCGAGGGCCACAGGTCGTGAGGGGCGGCCACGGCCCTGGGGGGCCGAGGGACACAGCCTTGTCGGTGCGCTGGGGCAGGCTCGGCGTCCCAGCGCGGTGTCTTTTCTCTTCTGTGCTTCGCGTCTCGGTGTCCTCCGCGGTTGCCCTTTGCAGCGGTGGGGAACATGCATGAAGCGGCACATCAGTGAACGTGCTACAGAAGCGAAGCTGTAGCCGCTTCGGAGCGAGTGCAAAGCAAATGAGACCAGCATGTGGAGGACAGGCCACAGAGACAGACATCGTGAGCTACGAACGCGCCACTCGTGGAAGGATAGCTCCATTGATGCGAAATGTCGCGCGGCATAACATCTGCAGGGCTTGGCAACCTGCCGTGGGCCCGTAGTCGGGCCGGAGATGCCCGTCGGCGGCGTGTGTGTGTGTGTGTGCGTGTGTGTGTGTGTGTGTGTGTGTGTGTGTGTGTGTGTGTGTGTGTGCGTTCCAAGTCTTCTCCGAACATGGAGACGACTCCGCCGCCCTCTGAGAAGGCCTGCGCCCTCTCACTTCCCCCCTCAGTCCGTGGGCCTCCTTGGACATGGGCCATCTTTTGGTGTCATTGGGCCACATCGGAGCCTTGCTGTGCCATCTTGGGAACTCATGCTAAGATGTCATGGCCTCTGGGGATAATCTTACCCCGGGCAAGCCATGGAGTCGGTTTATGGTTTGACAAGCGTTCGCGCTGCTGGGTGTCTTTTAGTGCCTCTTGGGGCTCTCTGGGTGTCCTCTTTGGGCTTTATTGGGAAGTCTTGTGCCCCTCTCAGAGCTCTCTTGGGGCTATCTCGGACCCCGAGAAGCCCATTGGAGCCCGCCATGATATTGCGCCAAAGAGGAAACAAACACAACCGTCTTCAATGAGTTGGGCCTTTGTGGGGACCTCCGAGGGGCTCATATTCGGCAATCTTGAGGTGTCTTCGCAGTTATTTGGGTTGTCTTGGGCTATCTTGGGCCACCCTGGGGCCCTCCTGGGGCCACCATCGCACCATCTTGGGGCGTCGTGAGGTCATCTCTTGGCCATCTGTTGAAGGCCTGGCGCCGAATGGCCCGCGCTCTTGGGACGCTCTCTCGCCCCCTTGGGGGTTCCTTCAAGCCTTTTGGGGCCCTCTTGAGGCCCTCTTGGTGCTTTGTTGGGGCCCTCGAGGGCCAAGTCACTACAGCACAGGTTTTTAGACCACTTGGCTTCTGGAAGGTGCGAGGCGAGGTCACTCGGCCATCCGGGAACATTTTGAAGTCAGTCATGGCAGCCTGTCAGGGCCGCCTATGATTCGATGCGATGCGATTCGATTCGCCAGCTGTGGCCGCGATTCCGATCATATTCTTTCGGTCCGCTTCATCAGCATCGGCCGTTGCCAGCCGTAGCCTGGCGCGGCGATCCGATCTTGATCCGATTCGGGACGATTCGCTGGCGATCCGACCCGTTTCCGATCCGATTCGATCTCTCGATTCGATCCAGCTCATGCCTGCCTGGACCAGATCGTGGGCCATATCGGTATCATCTTGGCAGCAGCCTGACGCCATCTTGGGGCAATCTCGGGGGGCCAGCACGAGGCTTGCCCCTCAGGGCACTCTTCTGGCGCTCTTGGGGGGCTCTCGCCCGCTCTTAGCGTGACTTGGACGCCAATATGAAGTCCGGAGATCCCCTCGGAGCGCCCTCGCGCGCGCGGACCGAATTAGGACAAACACAAGTTAAATACAATCACGCCTTTAGCCATAGCCCCATGGACGGGCGCATTCCCAAGACCACTGCCATTGCCATTGCCATTGCCATTTCTATGCCCATTCCTGTGCCCATTCCGGTTTCCATCCTTGTTCCCATTACAGTTCGCATTCCTAGTCGTATTCCTATTCCGAGTCTCCTTCCTCATTTGAGTTTGATCTCACTCTGCCACCTAGCTGGCCAATAGCCAGCCACTCAATTTGGGCCCTTCCGCCCGCCCCAGTGAACAACACGCAATAAAAAGTCGGCGTTTTCCATGCCAGCATGGACGTTTTTTCGCCGACGCTGCAAGATGCGTGGCAGGAATGGGATGCGGAGCACATCGCGTGCGAAATTGCGAAATGTTACCCTCGCGCCAAGTTTATTTTCCCTCAAAGTTGCGGTCCCGCTAGTCGTGGCCGACAGCCCTCGCTCGCCCAGTGGTCAGCGGCAAGGTCGTGCGCGTGTGGACAAACTATCGCTATCGCCCAGGCGCCGCGCAGTCTCCGTCTGCAAGCGGCGCTCTCCCTCCTGGGCGCGGCGGGCAGCTTTTGCTCGCTCAGTTGTTGGAAGCGGACGCGGGGTCACGCGCGAGCGGGCAGTTCTTTTGCCAGCCATCAACAGCAAAAACATCATCATCATCATCATCATCATCATCATCATCATCATCATCATCATCATCATCATCATCATCATCATCATCATCATCATCATCATCATCGTCATCATCGTCATCATCGTCATCATCGTCATCATCATCATCAACATCATCATCAGCATCATCATCAGTATCAGTATCATAATCAGCAGCAGCATCATCATGCTTTTGTCACGCGAGGAGCGCGCGAGCGGGCCACTTGCAGGCGTCGCGCAGACTCCGCCTGCAGGTGGCGCTCCTGCGCTGGCGCGGCCTCGCCGAGGCGCTGCGCGAGAGTCTCGTGGGAGGTACGCCTGCCACCCGTGCGCGGGCCAGGCCTTCCCTGCGCCCCAGTCGTCAAGAGGCGTGGCCACTTGTCAGGAAGCCAACATCGCAGAGTTGATTTCCTTCGGAAGTCAAAAGGATGGGCCCGGAGTGTCCGGGAGAATTTCGTTCCGGATTTCGAAGTGCATTCCGTGCGGATTTTCTTAACCAGGAATGAAGATTACAAACGATCCACGTGAAGTGCACTTAGTTTTTCGCTCGCCGTTTCGGCGTTTCGCATGGGCAGAAAGCCACGCAAAAAACCGCTGCAGCACGTCTGCAAGGTCGGTGCAGTGACACTTGCGCGCGCGCGAGCGCCCTCCAGCGCGCGAGGTGGGAGCGCACGCGAGTCCCAATTTCCAGCTGTGCCAGCGCCGATCCTCGTGTTGTGGGAAGGAGGGTCAGAGCGGGCGGGGCCTTCTGACTCGTTTAGGCTGGCCAGCTTGACTCCTGCTCATATTCCGAGTCCAGCATCCGTGATCACAAACCCGAACGGTGCTCCCCACTTCTCGTATCAACGGTTTTTCTATGCAGCCTCCCTCCTCCAGGAGACCCTGGAGGGGCAGCAGAAGGAGTCTGGCGACCCGGGCCCCCGCACCGAGTTGGACTTTTGGAGGAAGTGCTCCCCCTCGCGCTTGAGGAGAAGGGTGAGGACGATACCGCGGAGGACGAAGAGCATGTAGAAAGAATACGGTCAGACTGGGGTATAAGATCGAGGTCGGTTCGGGGAGGATGCCCTAATGTTCTCAGTGCTTGTTGTACGTTTTTGTGTTTCCAGGAGGAGGGTACACTCGAATGTTCTTCAGTTTGGCCGGCGGAGGGTCTCATGTTCTTGGAGGATGTTTTTGTGTCCTAGGTCCGACCGTAGTGATGATGATGCTGATGATGATGATGATGACGACGAGGATGATGATGATGATGATGATGATGGTGGTGGTGGTGGTGGTGATGATGATGATGAGGAGGAGGAGGAGGAGGTGGAGGAGGATGGACAAAACTGCCGAGACTGACGACGACAACGACGATGCTGACGATGTGATGCTGATGTGGTGGTGGTGATGAGGATGTTTACGCTGATTCTGAAAGTCTGATGACGAGAAGGAGGAGGAATATTAGGAACAGGAGCACGAGGAGGAGCAGGAGAAGGATGAGGATGATGATTATGAGGAGGAGGATGAGGAGGAGGAGGGTGGAGGACACTGACTCCGGCTCCGACTCCGGCCCCAACTCTGGGTCCCAATTTTCCGACTCCAGGTCCTATCCCATCTCTCCGATTCCGGTCTCGATTCCTATTTCCATCTTTCCGACGGTGGGCCCGATTGTGGTCAAATGTATTCGACTGTGGCAGTACGTGTGGTTCTTCTTCTCCGACTGCGGCTCCGTCATCCACTCCCATCTATCCGACCTGGCTGCCATTTCCCGACCCCGGCTTCTGAGCGGCGCCCCAGCACCCTCCCGCCGCACCCTCGTGGGTGCCTCGACGCGGGCTCTTGTCTTGTCTTGTCTTGAGGGTGGAGGACACTCAGGGAAACGAAGTCGACGATGACGATGACAATGACGATGATGACGACGGCGGTGATGATGCTGATGATGCTGATGATTATGATGATGCTGATGATGATGGTATTGATGGTGGTGCTGACGATGATGATGATGCTGATGCTGCTGATGATAATGATTATGATGATGCTGCTGATGATAATTTTGATGACGGCGCTCAACATGATGCTGCCGATGCTGCTCATGATGACGATGATGATGCTTGTGCTGATGCTGATGCTAATGCTGCTGCTGATGATGATGACGATGAGGATTATGCTGGTGATGCTTGTGGTGGTGATGATGATGGAGGTGGCGATGATGGCGATGATGCTGATGCTGATCTGCTGATGATGACGATGATGCTGCTGCTGATGATAATGATGTTGATGCTGCTGCTGCTGATGATGATGAGGATGAGGATGATGATGATGATGATGATGACTGCGATGCTGCTGCTGATGATGATGACGATGACGATGACGATGATGATGATGATGGTGATGGTGATGGTGGTGGTCATGATGATGATCATGGTGTTGATGATGATGATGCGGCTGATGCTGATGTTGATGCTGCTGCTGATGGTGGTGGTGGTGATGATGATGGTGCCAATGATGCTGATGATGATGCTGCTGATGATGATGACGATGGTGGTAGTGGTGGTTGTGGTGGTGATTGTGATAATGCGGGTGCTGATGAGGTGACCTGGCGGATTTTGAATATCTGATGTTGGCGAGGAGGCGGTGGCTGAGGAGGAGAGGAGAAACGAAATTATGATTATGCTGATGCTGATATTGTTGCTGATGGTGAGGATGATGACGATGACGGTGATGATGATGTTGATGTTGATGGTGATGAGGAGGAGAAGGAGGAAGAAAGGTAAGAGGAGGATGAGGAGGACGAGGAGGAGGGGGAGGAGGATGAGGAGGAACGGGACAAGGAGCAGCGGTAAGAGCCGCGGCATCGTACTCGAAAAAAAATCGCCGGAACACCCACGCGAGCGTGATGGTCAAGCGCAGGGATCAAAGACCAAACGGCGCAGGCCAGACCAAAAACCGATGGACAGAACTGCAAAGCTGCCGCTTGCTCCTTACCAGGACCCCTCCAGGTCCCCACCAGCGCCAGAGACGTCGCCAGGGCCCCGCCTCGACCGCGTCAAGACACTGCCAGGACGCCACTGCGGCTGCCAGGATCTCGTCAGGCTATTTTCCGTCCTTTTTCAGGAGCGAAAGAGGGACGTACACGTCCATGAATCCACGCTGGTTTCAAGAGTACGCATTGCTCAAATGTTCGTATCACGCGGCCAGTCTCGCGGATCGAGGGGCCGTGTTCATGTGCATAGCTGGGCGCGTACCTCCTCCGTACCATCTCGTCCCATACATTCCCGTCTTGTCCTTCTCCCGTCCATCCTGCTTCTTCGGTTTGTCTTCATCTTGCTTGTGCCCTGCTCCTCCTCGGCGCACCGAGAGTGTCCACGTGTTCCATGAAGCAGCATGTCGAGTTCATGTAGATATCCAGGGAGAAAACTCAAATTCCTCTCGTAATGTTTCAAGCGAGGTTTCTGTTAGATCTGGGCGCGGCAAGGTCGTCGATTTGGAGAACGGCTGGACGAACGACACAAGCCTTTGAGGGAGGCAAGGAACGTCTCAGGTCTCAGGGTATAGGCTCTCGAGCTTTTCTCAGGGTATCGACTCTCGAGCTTTCGACCCTTGTCCTCGGAGACTTGGTGTATTTGGCACAGGCCGATCGCGTTGGATCTCAGAGGGCCGGAAGGGCCCGCACGGGGGGGGGGGGCGGCGGCGGCCGAGCCTGACTTGACTCCTCCCCGCCCTCCCTCCCTCTGCTCCGCCCTGTGTCCTCTGCCTTGCCCTTCGCGCCTGGAGCCTGTGCGTGTCCACTCGTCCTGGAGACAGTTGAGACGCTTCCAGCGTCTCATCCAGGACTCGCGTTGGAAAACAAATTACACCATCTTGCTCTTGGTGAAACGGAGGTCTAGAAGAGTGCCTCATTAGAGTAGCCAGCTACCATCGAAATCAGTACACAAAACTGGTCTAGAAAAGTGCCTGCCCTCCCTCCCCCCCCCCCCGAGGAACTCGCGGAGCGCTGGCTGTGCACACCCCTCGCCCCCTCGGGGGGCGGGAGCGTGCCCACGGCCAGCGCTGCCCCAGATCAGCGGGGGGAACGCTTCCGGCTCGGCGGGCACCACGAATTCTTGGCGTGGAATTGTTTCGGGGGGTTGCGGTCAGGAGGAGGACGAGGAGGAGGAGGAGGAGGAGGAGGAGGAGGAGGAGGAGGAGGAGGAGGAGGAGGAGGAGGAAGAGGGGGATGAGGAGGGGGAGGATGAGGAGGAGGAGGAGGAGGAAGAGGAGGAGGAGAAAGAGGAGGAGGAGGAGGAGCAGGAGGAGGAGGAGGAGATCATGCTACGATTGTAGCTGCTGGTGTCGTTGTGAGTTGTGATTTCTTCCTCTGGGCTAGCCCACAAGCAACGTGCAAGTGGGTCGTGACTGGCACGAGATCAGACTCGGGCAGGGCGGACCAAACCTGTCTGTGGCCTCGCTGGCTTGCAAGTGGGTCGGGACTGGCATGAGATCAGACTCGGGCAGGGCGGACCAAACCTGTCTGTGGCCTCGCTGGCTCAGCGCCGTCTAAGGCTGGCGCGGACTCCGTCCCCCAGGGTCCATTTTGATTCGATCGATCCGATTCTATGACGATTCCCGCCAGCCCGATGCGATTCGACTCCAGTATTCCGACGATCTGATGCGGCCCGACGCTTGGATGGCGCAGTTATGCCTCCTGGCGCAGGCGATCCGACTCGTCTTCGACCCCGTGCCGAGGTAACCCGTTCCGATTCACGTCTCGATCGGAGCCGACTTGCCAATGCGATGCTGACCGATCCTGCCCTTCGAGCAGGAACCGCCTCCAGAAGATCACCTCCATCACGGAGCAGCTCAAGACGAAGGATCGGCGGCGAGAAGTCTCTGGAGCCTTCCCCGAGAGCGCAGAGCACGCTTCTCAGAAGGCCGGCGGGCTTCTGAGACGCCCGCCGCCTTCTGAGGAGACCACTTCCGCTTCCTTCCCACTTCCCTTCCCCGCTCGCCGCCGAAAGGAGCGGAAGCTGGTGCTCCACCTGCTGCAGGCGCCCCCGGCCCCCTGTTCCTTCGGGCTCGGCCGCCTCTCTCCCCCGCCGGGGCCGCGGCCCTCCTTTCGGCGAGCACCTGGCGCGCGGTGTGGGTGCCTGCACGCGGGCAAGGGCAGGACGATGACGAGGAGGGCGGAGGGCGAGGAGGGATGAGGAGGGAGAGTGAGACGAGGGGTAATGACGATGACGATGACGATGATGACGATGACGGTGGTGGTAGTGGTGATGGTGTTGGTGGTGATGTTGCTGCTGCTGCTGATGATCATGATGGTGGTGATGAAGGTGATGATCATGATGGTGATGGTGATGGTGACGGTGATGATCGTGATGATGATGATGATGGTGATGGTGGTGGTGATGATGACGATGGTGGTGGTGGTGATGATGATGCTGGTGATGGTGATGGTGATGATGATGATCATGATGGTGATGCTGATGGTGATGGTGATGATGATGGTGGTGGTGGTGATGATGCTGCTGTTGATGATGATGGTGATGGTGATGGTTCTGATGATGATGATGGTGGTGGTGGTGATGATGATGCTGCTGATGATGGTGGTGACGGTGGTGGTGGTGATGATCTGCTGTTGATGATGACGATGGTGATGGTGACGATGATGCTGGTGGTGGTGGTGATGATGATGATGATTTGTGGTGATGGTGATGCTGGTGATGGTGATGGTGATGATGATGATGATGATGACGATGACGATGACGATGATGATTGTGATGGTGATGATGATGCTGATGATGATGATGATGATGATGTCGGTGATGGTGATGGTGGTGATGATGATGGTGATGATGATGATGATGATGGCGATGGTGATGGTCTGGTGATGCTGCTGACGATGCTGATGATGATGGTGATGATGGTGCTGGTGATGATGATGATGGTGATGATGATGATGATGATGATTATGATGATGGTGGTGATGGTGGCGGTGGTGGTGATGGTGATACTGCTGCTGATGATGGTGATGGTGGTGATGATGCTGCTGTTGATGATGGTGATGGTGGTGGTGGTGGTACTACTGCTGCTGCTGCTGCTGATGATGATGATGATGATGATGATTGTGGTGATGATGATGACGATGCTAATCATGATGCTGATGATGGCGATGTCGACGTCGATAGTGATGGTGAAGCTGTCAATGAGGTTGATGATGGTACGTGCTATTATTGATCGTTATGGTTGTTGTTGTTGTTACTGCTGTTGTTGTTGTGATTGGTGTTGTTGTTGTTGTTGTTGTTGTTGTTGTTGTTGTTGTTGTTGTTGTTGGTGTTGTTGTTGTTGTTGTTGTTGTTGCTTTTGTTGTTGTTGTGCTGTTGTTATTGATGTTGTTGTCGTTGTTGTTGTTGTTGTTGTTGTTGTCCTTGTTGAACTCATATTTCTGAGACATTTTCATGGTTGATCCCCCCTCACTGGTGCAGACTGTTTTTTTCTCAGTCAAAGTGTGCCCCTCGACGCTTGCACCCTGTTTTTTGACAAGGAAAGTCTTGGTGGTCAAACTGGGCCCCTGGCCCCCCGGACTGCAACAACATCGGCTCCCGCTTGTGACTTCCTCCAAATTTGCTCAGGACGCCCCCCTCCCGTCTTAGATTTCCTCCCAATTTACTCAGGAACGGCGCTCCCGCTTGAGACATCCTCACAATTTAGTCCGGGTCAAAGTGAGTCGTTGCTCCCCTGGACTACTACAACAACGGCTCCCGCCTGAGACTTCCTCATAATTTATTGAAGAATCGCGCTCTCGTTTTGGACTTCCTGGCAATTTGCCACCGAACCGCGGCTCCCGCCTGAAATTTCCTGACAATGTATTATAGAATCGAATTATAGAATCGCGTTCTCGCTTGGGATTTCCTCGCAACTTACCACCGAACCGCTTCGCTTATTTCCTCACAATTTATCCAGATGCCGCTCCTCGACACTCAGGAATCGCGCCCCCGCTACATATTGCCTCGTGGTTCAAGCAGGTCTCACGCTTCAACGACCCGCCCGGTCGACCCGCCCGTCGGGGCCTGCCCGCCCGACCAAGCCGTTAATGACTGCAGTCGCCGCTCGCTGCCCTTTGCCCGCCTTCGATGCCCCTCGCTGCCCGTATTGGTTCCGCGTTCGCCTTCGCTGGCTGCCCTTCGTGGTCCCGTTGCTGCCCTCAGTGGCCCCGTCGCTGCCCTTGGTGGCCCCGCATTATATGCCCTTCGTGGCCCCCGCTCGCACGCGCCCGTCGTGGCCCCATACGCATGCCCTTCGTAGCCCCGCTGTCGCCCTTCGTGGCTCCCTCGCTGCCCTTCGTGGCCCCTTTGCTGCCCTCAGTGGCCCCGCTGTCGCCCTTGTGTGGCCCCGTATACGAATGCCTTTCGTGGCCCCCGCTCGCTCCCGTCGTGGCCCCACATGCATGCCCTTCGTGGCCCCGCTGTCGTCCTTTGTGGCCCCCTCGCTGCCCTTCGTGCCCCCGGTGCTGCCCTCAGCGGCCCTGTCGCTGCCCTCTGTGGCCTGGGATTTTATGCCTTTCGTGGCCCACGCTGGTTTTTCTCACGATTTACTTGGGAATCGAGGTATCGCTCGAGACTTCCTCGCGATTCATGCAGGACCCACGCTTCAGCAACCCGCCTGCTCGACCTCGTCGCTTGGGCCCGCCTTCCCGACCTGCTCGCTATGGGTCTGCCCACCCGATCTGCCCGTTTGGTTCTACCACTTGTTTTCTGCTCCTTGCCCCTCTCCTGCTAATTTGTCTCGTGCTCCATTCTTCTCACTCCCCCTTCCACCCGTCCTCTCTTCCCTTGTTTAAGGGACTGCATTAAATCCACGTGGCAGGTAAGGAAGATATACCCCCAAGAAGAGGACGAGGGCGGGTACCGAGGGTTTGGGATATACGTATTGATTGGCACGTGAGCAGATAGGAGCGAACAGCCTTCAATTAAAATGATCGTTGTTTTTGAACTTTCATTTCTGAGGGATAATTTTTGTTGATCCCCCCTCACCAGTGCATAGTGTTTTTTCTCAATCAAAGTGTGCCCCTCGACGCTCGCACCCTGTTTTTTTGACAGGGGAAGTCTTCCAGCTCAAACTGGGCCCCTGGCCCCCCGGATTGCAACAACAACGGCTCCCGCCTGAGACTTCTTCCAAATTTACTCAGGACCCCCGCTCCTTAGATTTCCTGACAATTTAATCAGGATCGGTGTTCCCGCCTGTGACTTCCTCGCAATTTAGGATCCCCGCTCCCATCTGAGACTTTCTCACAATTTACTCAGGAACGGCGCTCCCGCTTGAGACTTCCTCGCAATTGGATCAAGACTTCTTCGCAATTTAATCAAGACCCCCGCTCCCGCCAGAGAACCCTTCACATTTTATTCAGGAATTGCGCTTTCGCCTGTGACTACCATGCATTTTATTGAGAAGTCGCGCTTTCGACGCTCAGGAAACACGCTGCGCCAAGGACGCCGTTACAATTTACTTAGTTATCGCGCTCTCGCCATACTCAGGCATCCCGCTTGAATGTCCCACCCGCCCGACCCGCCCGTCAGGGGATCGCCCGCCCGTCGTGGGCTCCCGCCCGAGACTTCCTTCAGGAACGGCGCTTTCGAACGTTCACGCTCTTACCTTCCTGCTCCTCCTCCCTCTCCCTCCTCCCTCCTCCCTCCTCTCCTCCCTTCTCTCTCCCTCCTCTCTTCCCTCATCCTTATGCCTCTCTGCCCTATGCCCTCTCCCTCCTCTCCCTCCTCCCTTCTCCCTCCCCTCTCCTGCCTCTTCTCTCTCTCTCTCTATCTCTCCCGTTCCCCTTCTCTCTCTGTCCCAACCTCTCTCCTTTTTTCCCAACCAGCCTGTGTTGTTGGGTCCTCGTTTTGAAGAGACGCCCCCCGCCTCTCCTCCTCCCCCTTCTCCCTCCTCCCCTCCTCTCATCATCATCATCATCATCATCATCATCATCATCAGCATCATCATCATCATCATCTTCTTCGTCTTCGTCTTCGTCTTCGTCTTCGTCTTCGTCTTCGTCTTCGTCACCATCATCATCATCATCATCATCATCATCATCATCATCATCATCATCATCATCATCATCATCATCATCATCATCATCAACATCATCATCATCATCATAATCATCATCGTCATCATCGTCGTCATCATCATCATCAACATCAGCCTCATCACCCCCCAGTGCAGCGCGTCGTGGCCCCATAGGGAGCGCCACCGAAGGTCCCCGTGGCGCAGTCCGCATGCGTCTCCCTCACCCAGTACAGCGTTTCGTGGCCCCATAGGGAGCTCCACCGAAGGTCCCCGTGGCGCAGTCCGCATGCGTCTCCCCCACCCAGTACAGCGTTTCGTGGCCTCATAAGGGGCTCCACCGAAGGTCCCTGTGGCGCAGTCCGCATGCGTCTCCCCCACCCAGTACAGCGTGTCGTGGCCCCATAGGGAGCGCCACCGAAGGTCCCCGTGGCGCAGTCCGCATGCGTCTCCCCCACCCAGTACAGCGTTTCGTGGCCCCATAGGGGCTCCACCGCAGGTCCCAGTACAGCGTTTCGTGGCCCCATAGGGGCTCCACCGAAGGTTCCCGTGGCACAGTCCGCATGAGTCCCCATATGGAGCTCCACCGAAGGTCCCCGTGGCGCAGTCCGCATGCGTCTCCCTCACCCAGTACAGCGTTTCGTGGCCCCATATGGCGCCCCACCGAAGGTCCCCGTGGCGCAGTCCGCATGCGTCTCCCTCACCCAGTGCAGCTTTTCGTGGCCCCATAGGGAGCTCCACCGAAGGTCCCCGTGGCGCAGTCCGCGTGCGGTTCCACCACCCAGTACAGCGTGTCGTGGCCCCATAGGGAGCTCCACCGAAGGTCCCCGTGGCGCAGTCCGCATGCGTCTCCCCCATCCAGTGCACCAGTTCGCACGTAGACTCGCTCGCACGCAGATTCATTCCCTACCTAGGCTCTGCCTAGAAGGGTTCTTACTCTCTATCTTAAAGGAGCCGGGCAGTGGGCTTCGCCCCGGGCGGTTCCCCCAG